TTCGCCGCAGCGTGGCGAAATTATCATTCTTACGGACAGATGTTTTGGCGCTTGATGGGTAACGAAATTTTAATATTACTTCACGTTCCCACAATAATTAAATAGCCATTTATATCATCTCTTGACATTGTTTCGCACTGGTCAACGAGACACATTTAAAGATATCAGCAAAGTATTACTTGCAAAATAAATTATGCAATAATATTCAACGTGGAGCATGTTATATAACAGCAGAAAATTAGTCATTTAAACTATATATACGCTTGATATAAACTTGATTTAAACTATATGCCACAACTTGATTGGTTCTTTTATTTGTTTCAAAACGTTGGCTCTTATATAGAAGGGAAAAGCTAGTCGATATATAATGAAAACTGATGAAAACAGCTTGGGGCTGTACACGGCATAGAGAAATCGGATGATATCGCTTCTCAGCTTTCTAGTGCGCGTAGTTTCACGATACTTGTTGCTTTCAGAATGAGATGTTACTGCGACTGTATTCATCAATAATGTGTTATTCATTCAACAATATCGTGCTCGTAATATGCATCGATTTGTAACAGCCATTCACGAAATGAATTGCAGTCCTATAGAATCGCATTGTTCAGAATCTGAAATCCTAAAGGAGTTGTAAAGAAAAATTATAATTTTAATTTCTTTCTTTACAAATTCCTAAAAACAATAACAAATTTTTAAATTTCTTATTGTTTTTAGGAATAAATAAATATTATACTTGATAGAAGTTTTTATGAAAAATATTGCATATTATATACAATATAACATTGTGTAGGCTTTTTAATATAAAATAATTACAATAATCATTTTGATTGCTAAGTAAGTTAAAAAATATTATTAATTTTTTCAATATATGTATGTATTTTATATCTATTGCATTTTTATAGGGTGGAAGGCCGCGATTTGGTGGTACATTTTGAGATTAGGTTCGATCCGCGATATCAGACTATAACTACTGGAAATATCGTGGACATTCTGTCGCGGGAATTAAATCCCGAAACATCGCGCTATTTGGCGAATCTGACAATAGAGATGAAGAGTCTCGAAGTACAAGAAAGTCTAAAGGCCCTGAACGCTCAAATTAATCCACAATCATCCATCTCGACATTACCGCCTACAACGACAGCACCTCCGCCAAGAAAATGCAACAAGCTGGACTTGCCTTATTGTAAACATCTCCCTTATAATATTAGCTCGTATCCAAATATATTGGAGCATAAATCGTTGGCAGATGTCGAAGAGGATGTTATTGCTTTCATATGTGTTTCTCCAGACTCTAAATAAGTCTAGAGTAAATTTGGATAAATTAAAAAAAAATCAATTTATCATTTACCACATTACTTGCTTAATTATATACTTTAATCCTTCAAAATTATGTAAAAACTTCAATAATATTTTTTTATTATATATTCAAATTAATAACAACCATCATATATTAAACACTGCATAATCTAATCATATATAATATGAAATTAGAGAACTAGTGGACGCGGAATGCTATCCATTGGCCTACGACTTTATCTGTCAGGTGCTGCAGCCTGCGTGTCAATTGGGTCATCCGGAAGATGTGCTGCAGTTGCCTTGTAGGAGCTTTTGCAGGGAATTTTGGAATGGATGCGGCAGTCGTCTTTCTGAGAAGATAAAACGGGCCTTGGATTGTTCCAATTTTCCCGAATATATCGGGCCTGGTAGTTGCAGACCAAAGCCAGGTGTGATTAATTACCAAAAGTAGTATAATATCGTAATTATTACGAGCAAGATCGCTCTTTACGTAAGATGAGATGTTAACCGCATCTTTAAATTATCTTTGAATTAATTCATATGAATAAATCAATGTGGATGTAGGATGTGTGCAAGCACTTCAGTCTAAAGCTTTATCACCGAGAATTTGCGACGGCGTAATCGATTGTCCGGATCTTTCGGATGAAAAAAACTGTGCCTATTGTCGAGATGGTTACATGCATTGCGGAGTAGGAAGAACCTGTATTCCGCATACAAAACGATGCGATGGCAAAGTGGACTGTCCGAATGGCAGCGATGAAAAAGATTGTCGTAAGTAGTATAAAATACGAAAAATATGGATTAATTTACTTTTAATACAGAAATAATGACGAAATAAATGATCAAAGATAATTGATGAATAAATAAATTGTTGTGCATTTATTGCAGTACTTTTGGCACCGAGCGTGCATGTATTAAAATCACAATCTTGGAGCACACCTCATGTCGCGAAATACAATAAAGAGGGATATGTTGTATTTAGTGAAAAAGGTACTATTGGCAAACTTTGTACGGCAAATCTAAATGCTACCTTACCAGAAACTGAAATGGATAATGTTCTTCAAACGGCAGCAAGCTCACTCTGTACTTTACTCACATATACGTAAGAATCTTATCGTGTACTTTACATAAATATCTTTTCCATATTGGATATTCAAAATACAAAAAAAATAATAGAGAAAGCTAAAAGAAAATACCAAAGAGATACAAGGTGAAGATCTAATAAATGTAAAATCTTTTCTCGGTTTCTTTGTTAATAATTTTTTTTATGAAAAAAGGAAATTTTATTTTTATTTGTACTTTTACTTTCTATAATTTTTATTACGTGAAACACATCTAGCTAATAATTTTTCTTGTTTATTTTGCAATTATCAAAATAAATTTTTCTATTTTATTTTATTAATTAATAGCTTAAACAGATATTAATTGTAGTTAAATATATATGTGCTTCTTTACGATTTTATTAGAGTTATAATTTTGATTTGTGCATAATTTAAGATTTAGTCATATTTTATATTTTTATTTCATGTAGACTTAAAAAAGAATTTTATAATTTAGAAATATGTTTTATAATCTTTTAATGTAGTGGCGTAGCTCTTGTTGAAGTAAGAATTGATGACGAAGAAGATGTCCCATATGTATACATGGAAGATCCATCAGCACCGGAAATCACTTTTGTCAGGGCTCCTTGTCCTAGCAAGGAAGTCCTATACGTTCGTTGTTCCGATCTTGGTACGCAAATTTTCTATTTTCTATTTTCTATTTTTCTAATATATTACATACACAATAGAAAAATTATCTTAAATATCTTAAATAGATCTTATGCACGTATTATACACGTTACATATACACTCTTCAAAATATTTAAGAGATAAAAAAATTGTCCAAAAATAGGCAAATTTTAAATAGTTGTAACCTTGTTTTAAAAAATGAGAATTAAAATTTTTTTTAATCCCTTATTATTTTGAAGAGTGTATAATACGTATGTATAATTATTTTATTATATTTTATATAAACTTGTAATAATTTTTTATTCTTTCTGTTGAAAACTAGAATGTGGAATACAACCTTTACGTACAAGTGACGGAACTCAAAGTCTTAATAAGATGGCAGAACCCGGTGACTGGCCTTGGCATGTTGCGCTTTTCAAGGAGGGAGTTCATGTTTGCGATGCTACTCTTGTGGCGGAAAATTGGTTGCTCACAACTGCGTATTGCTTTCAAGGGTACATTTATATTTCTACAAAAAGATATATAAGATAATATTTATTAAAAATATTTTCTTATTTTATATTAATATTGTTATATATTGTAGCAATAGAATTAAAATTTTAGTTAAAATTTTAATTGAAATTAAAATTTGAGATATAACACAGTACAACAAAAAATTTATTAAAAAATAATATAATATATTTTTAATTTTAAATTTATTGTTTCTTTTTTCTAGTCAACCCAAAGCAGAATGGTCGGCTATAACTTGGTGTCGTACGACTATCGAGTACATCACCTTGGCAACAAGAACGCAGAATCGTTGGCATGATTAAATCACCGGTGGAAGGTACGACTGTTCTGATAAAACTGGATAGACCAGTAACTTTCTCGGATTTTGTGAGACCAATTTGCTTGCCCTCCAACGAAGACTCACCGAGCAATACATCACAATGCAATACTTTGGGTTGGGCAAGAAATCGTACGTTGATTAATTGTTAATTGTCTATAATTGTGCCTAATAATTGATTGAAATTTAGATAGTTTAAAATGTTCCACATTCTTCTAAAAGTTAAAATTAAATTTCAAAGATTAACTTTACAATTATCGCGATATACATATATTTGATAACGTATTTACTTCAAATATATATATTTATTAAACATATCGTTTCAATAGTATAAATGGAGAATCTGAGCAAGCATTTTTTCATTTTTATTAATTATATATTAATTTAGAAAAATATAATGTAATATTTTTATGATTTAATGTAAATATTTTACGTTATGTTTGTTTAATATTCTATCATATATATATATATATATATAATATATATATATATATATATATGTGCGTGTATATTTCCATCATTTCTTAAATTATTTTTGAAAAGTACAAAAAATATTGAAACAAATATATATTAGAATCTTTTTTTTTTGACAGGTGATTTATTACAAAGAGTACAGTTGAAACATAGTGCAATGGAAAAGTGTGAAAATATTAGTATTCCTTCGGTGAACAGTGTTGCACTGAGCAAGCATATTCCATGGACGATTGCAATGTAAGTAATATTATGTTTATATAAACATTTGCATTAAACAGTTTTGTGTTCTTCTCTATTTTAGTAAAAAGTTTTACATTGAACACCAAATATTAATAAATTTACACACTAGACAAAATTTTGATTAATAGTATAAATTAACTTTTATTATTAAATTTTAACAGGAAGAAGAACTCGCTGGCAGTCCAATGTTGTGCCTTCAAACAGATAATCGAAGATGGTTTTGGCTGGTATTGGTAATTGGAGAATAGCTTGCTCGAAGGATGGCATCGAAAGGCCTCGATTATGATAAAATTGCATCACATATTGACTGGATTAATCTACCATTAGTTGAAAGCTTTAATTGAATTACTCAAATAAGCATTATCTTTTAAATATTTCTCAACAACGGAATATATTCTCGAATCTTAAAAATCGAGTGAAAAAAATAATGTGCATCGTAATCCAAAATTGTGACTTATATCAAAGTTAGAAATTACTGTTACATGATCGATTGTTATTATACGCTGATACATTTAATTGTGTCTGTTTTGTATATGTTACCTGTTTTAATAATAATTTTGCCAGATAAAATATATTTTCCATTTATTACCGAAACGTGCAATCGTTTTTGTTTCTATAATATATATAATATAAATATTATTATATATAAATGTAAATAAATCTTTCATAATTAGAACAAAAGTTCTTTGTGTTACTGTGGCATAATTTTTTAATTTATTCTTTTGTTTATATATTTACTTTATTATATGGTACATAATTGTTTTATAGTTTATATCTAATTACTATGTATTATATTGTTAGTATATATTATTATAGTTATAATGCAATTATATGTATATTTATAAGATCGTTTACACATTAAACTTTCTCAAATAATAATCTAACTTTTATCACTTGCGCAATATACAATATAAAGATGAGAAAAATGCATAAAATCATTTTATTTAATACTTATTATAATATTATGATAATGAATTAAATCTAAAAATATTATTTACTTAATAGAAATACGGCGAATTAAAATTATGTATATATAATCAAAAATGAAAATTAAATTGTGTGCATAATAGAAATTCGACGAATTAAAATTATGTACATAATAGAAAATCGGGAATTAAAGTTATGTACTCCCTCATAATAAAATTATGTACATAATTAATATTTGGCGAATTAAAATTGTGTACATTTGCTGATTATATATTATTTATTATTTACGCGTCGAAAACTCCCGCGCGTAGTAATACATGAAATCGGCCGAAATTCTGACGTCACGACGTTACCAACTTCAGCCAGCGCCGCCATTAGTCAGTGCGAGTCTAGCGGCAGAGGAGCAGAGGTGCGTCGCGAATGCTCCGCGTCTGTCTAGATTTCGTGTGCGCGTAACGCGAATAAACGGGAGTGCAAGTCCGGGAGTGTCGGTTTTTGACGTGATAGACCGAATAATATGCTCGAAGAGCATTCGGGCGTCGATGGGGACTTGGGACCCGGAGCCTCAGAACATCGCGAGTTGGGGATCGGAGGGACGAGGGAGGAGGGCGTTTTTCGTGTATATTTCGCCGCTACTCGGTCGCCCGAGAGCCTCGAAAAGATACCTCATCGTCTCGAAGGGTATCCCGGCGTCGACGGGGCCCCGGGAGTCTCAGATCATCGCGCGAATTCGTGGGATTGCGAGCTATGGGTTGGACAAGGGGAGGGGACTATGGCTTGAGACATCGTTTCGACGGTATTCGGACTATTTCTATATTTATCGTGTGGTATTTCGGCATCGTCCTCTCGACGAGGAGTTTCGCGAGTGCTCGAGCATCTCCTGGGGTGCTCGAATATCGTAGAAAGGGTTCAAGAAGCATCGAAACCGTCGATTCAAATTGTAGGGGTGGGGCGGCTATACCCCTCAGTCGCTTGAAAATGAGCTTTGGTGACGCTTCCGCGTAACGGTCGTGGCGCGCAAGAGTTACTTCCCCTGAATGGGACTTCAGTTTCTTCACGATGATACGTAATAACGCGGCGCGCCGAGAGATGTCGCGATAGACCTCTTAGACATCACGGGTGAATTTAAGGACATTTCGATGCGTTTAATGTGATTAAAATACGGACGCTCGCTTTCCCGGAATCGGAAAAGTATATTTTTTTAACAGATGTTTTGTTCGTGTTTTATTCGAGAATGCGATATCAAACGTGATCAAGCGAAATACTCGAAAGTGCCGAATGCATTCGCAAGTGATATTTTTTTTCGTCCGTTATTTCGTCCGTATCGTCCGTTTATTTCGAAGTGCATCTGTGTGTAGTGAAGTGCAACAAATAATTATTGCAAATATAAAATAATAGAAAAAACAGTGCAGTGATCAGTGCCAAACCATATGGGATGACAGCAGAGCAGCAGTGAAATATAAAAGTGGATATATGTATAAAAGGAGAAGGTTTGGATAATCGACTTAATGCAATGTGAGTTAATTTTTTCTTTATGTTACATTCGGATTTTTTTTTAATTTTCGGGAGGGAATTACGATTTTGTAAGACTGCTGATTTTTTTGCTAATTTCAATTTGAAAAAATTCATTTTGACAAACATCTAAACTGCTGTATTTTTTAAAGTGTGCGACTTAAGCGAAATAATTCAATATTAAAACATATAATAAATGCTGAAATAATTTGCTAATTTAAAAAAAAAATTCTAAAATTTGACAAATTATTTTTGTTCTGTATTATTTAAAGTTGAAATTATTGAAAGTTATTTAAACTGAAAATGGGCGCACTTAAGCGAAATTAATAGTTTGCGTATTAAATTTAATTCTTTAATTCAGATTTGCACATTTACATTTTTAAAAACACTGATATTTTAAAGTGCCAATAAATTTTAAGCGGAGATAATCGTTCACGATTTGAAGCTATTATTTAAAAAGTGATTTCGATTTGAAAAATTCATTTTGACAGTTTTGTTTAAACTGCTGTATTTTTAAAGTTTGCGACTTAAAGCGAAACGAAATTCAGTTCACATATAAAATTCTTAATAAGACTGCTGATTTGGATTTGAAATTTGAAAAAATTTATTTTTGACAGTTTTGTTTAAACTGCTGTATTTTTTAAAGTGTGCGACTTAAAGCGAAACGAAATTCAGTTCACACATCTATAAACGATTCTTAATAAGACTGCTGATTTGGATTTGCGTTATTTTCAATTTGAAAAAATTTGACAGTTTTGTTTTTGCTGTACTGATTAAGTGTGCGATCGACGAAACGAAACATTTCAGTTCACAAATCTTAATTCTTAATAAGACTGCTGATTTAGATTTGCGTTATTTTCAATTGAAAAAATTCATTTTTCACAGTTTTGTTCAAACTGCTTTTTTAAAGTGAAACTTAAAGCGAAACGAAATTCAGTTCACAATCTAAAAATTCTTAATAAGACTGCTGATTTGGATTTGCGTTATTTTCAATTTGAAAAATTCATTTTTTTTGTTTAAACTGCTGTATTTTTTAAAGTGTGCGACTTAAAGCGAAACGAATTCAGTTCACACATCTATAAACTGATTTTAAAAATGCTTTTAATTTGAAAAAATTCATTTTGACAGTTTTGTTTAAACTGCTGTATTTTTTAAAGTGTGCGACTTAAAGCGAAACGAAATTCAGTTCACACATCTATAAACGATTCTTAATAAGACTGCTGATTTGGATTTGCGTTATTTTCAATTTGAAAAAATTTATTTTTGTTTTGCTGCTGTATTTTTTAAAGATCGACTTACGAAACAATTTCAGTTCAAAAAATTAATTCTTAATAGACTGCTGATTTGATTTGCGTTATTTTCAATTTGAAAAACATTTTTGAAGTTTTGTTTAAACTGCTGTATTTTAAAGTGTGCGACTTAAATCGATTTCGAGTTCACAATCTATAAATTCTTAATAAGACTGCTGATTTAAGCGTTATTTTCAATTTGAAAAAATACATTTTTCAGTGTTTAAACTGCTGTATTTTTGTGGTTCGGCGACTTCAGTTCGAATGTTAAACGATTCTTAATAAGACTGCTGATTTGGATTTGCGTTAAATTTGAAAAAATTCATTTTTGACAGTTTTGTTTAAACTGCTGTATTTTTTAAAGTGTGCGACTTAAAGCGAAACGAAATTCAGTTCACACATCTATAAACGATTCTTAATAAGACTGCTGATTTGGATTTGCGTTATTTTCAATTTGAAAAAATTATTTTTGACAGTTTTGTTTAAACTGCTGTATTTTTTAAAGTGTGCGACTTAAAGCGAAACGAAATTCAGTTCACACATCTATAAACGATTCTTAATAAGACTGCTGATTTGGATTTGCGTTATTTTCAATTTGAAAAAATTCATTTTTGACAGTTTTGTTTAAACTGCTGTATTTTTTAAAGTGTGCGACTTAAAGCGAAACGAAATTCAGTTCACACATCTATAAACGATTCTTAATAAGACTGCTGATTTGGATTTGCGTTATTTTCAATTTGAAAAAATTTATTTTTGACAGTTTTGTTTAAACTGCTGTATTTTTTAAAGTGTGCGACTTAAAGCGAAACGAAATTCAGTTCACACATCTATAAACGATTCTTAATAAGACTGCTGATTTGGATTTGCGTTATTTTCAATTTGAAAAAATTTATTTTTGACAGTTTTGTTTAAACTGCTGTATTTTTTAAAGTGTGCGACTTAAAGCGAAACGAAATTCAGTTCACACATCTATAAACGATTCTTAATAAGACTGCTGATTTGGATTTGCGTTATTTTCAATTTGAAAAAATTTATTTTTGACAGTTTTGTTTAAACTGCTGTATTTTTTAAAGTGTGCGACTTAAAGCGAAACGAAATTCAGTTCACACATCTATAAACGATTCTTAATAAGACTGCTGATTTGGATTTGCGTTATTTTCAATTTGAAAAAATTTATTTTTGACAGTTTTGTTTAAACTGCTGTATTTTTTAAAGTGTGCGACTTAAAGCGAAACGAAATTCAGTTCACACATCTATAAACGATTCTTAATAAGACTGCTGATTTGGATTTGCGTTATTTTCAATTTGAAAAAATTTATTTTTGACAGTTTTGTTTAAACTGCTGTATTTTTTAAAGTGTGCGACTTAAAGCGAAACGAAATTCAGTTCACACATCTATAAACGATTCTTAATAAGACTGCTGATTTGGATTTGCGTTATTTTCAATTTGAAAAAATTTATTTTTGACAGTTTTGTTTAAACTGCTGTATTTTTTAAAGTGTGCGACTTAAAGCGAAACGAAATTCAGTTCACACATCTATAAACGATTCTTAATAAGACTGCTGATTTGGATTTGCGTTATTTTCAATTTGAAAAAATTTATTTTTGACAGTTTT